GCGTTTATTACGACGCTGGAAACTATCTCGTTCTGTACGTCGGTCGGAGGGATTGATTGGCGCATCAAGAAAGTGGATGGACAGACAAATATCGAATACGTAGGACTGAAAACCCCAGACAGGCAGTGTTGGAATCCTACCTGGGCAAAATCCTTAGAGTCTTCAGTAATGATTTGATCCCCTCTACATATCTGTATGGCTTATATACTACGAAATCCCTACGGAAATGAGCAAACACGTAAGTAATTTCGTACGAGAACCAAACGGGGAACTGACTGTCTGAGAGGCTCGAAATGCACCTGATAATCCCATATATAGATACATATTAGACCCGGAGTGCCTCCCCTCGTTGGCAATAGTGGAAGTATCTTGAAGGTCGTATTTATGCTCCAGCCGGTCTCTTTGATTGTTGTTCAAAGGTGTTAGTCTGGGAAGTTAGACAGAGCAGAATGCATATAATACCATGTCACGATTCACTCGCTCTAGACGCTATAAGGCGGAGACTCTGTACCCGTAACATTATTGCTACTATTCTCGGAGCGATGTGGTTTGTGTTGGACACACTTACATGTATGTCCTGCCAGGATTGCGTAGCAGCTCGAGAAAGCATGAAGGAAGTAAAATAATAATAAGCATACCTTGCTCTTACTGTTTCAGGCTTCTCAAAGTGCCAAAATTGCTTGAAAGCCTATGTATTAGTACATTTCAGATGCAAACGACTTTGTACTTGATGGCAAATTTTCCGTTTGGATCTTGGGCTGAGGGTTCAAACGTTCATAAGCGACAGAAATTAGGATCAAGCCAGGCTCCCGTTGATTTTCGCCGTGCAGCAGGGGCATCCCCATGGCCACAAGCCCTGATATAATCAGGCTGAAAGTTTAAAGTGATATAACAGAGTATTGGCACATGCCACAACAGCAACAAGCTTCGAGCGAGACGTGTCGCGGGGCTATTATTATTATTATCGTGTTGAAGCGTTGCCTGATATATCGACGTGGGAACGAACTGCCTAAGCCATATTGAATTATGATTGGCTGATGCGTATATATGTGCTATGTACAAATCGGGACATAGCCTCTCCACAGGCACCGGACATGAGCCTTTTGTTCTAAGTCAGAAAGCATTTATTGAAGGTATCTAGAAGTGTACGGAAATCGCCAGGCACAGGTCTAACTAGACCCGGAGCGATGGGAGGTACTCCGGGTCTAATATGTATCTATATATGGGATTATCAGGTGTCGAAATCTCACACATTTCACTTAGTCTTCTACTACTACAATGGCGAGATTCTAGTCACTTTCTCCGCATCGGCTCCACTCCAACATTTCTGGACTAGTTGTTACTAGCCCAACGGACGGCCTTTAAAACGGCCTCTTTTGCTCGCTTCTTTCTATCCTCACCTCGAAACAACCATGGACATTTCCTCTGCACAAACTGCCGAAAAGATATCTTCACTCAATGAGGTCCAAGCCATCACAGAGAAGGTTCATCTCAGCTTTTCTAACTGTGGGTTCTACTATAGTCGGGATAGTCGCCATTTCTGACCACACGACAGGTCCCGATGAAAGGATGAAGTTTCTCTTCAAGAACTTGGTATGGTAACTTCAGCATGAGTGACTTTCCGTCGCCTAGTCGATGTGATGGCTTGCTTAGGTAGATCATATCCACAACTTCGTTCGAGAGACGTCTTTGACTCACGCGGAATGGTCGTAAGTTGTATGTGACTGTCTGCACCATTCTTGATGCTTACTTCATTTCAGAGCGACGATGGATTTTCTGGACAGATTTCGTCAGGAGGATCGCGGCGAGTGCCATGCCCTCAGCGATGAGAGTAGGCTTAACTTGCTGACTCGCACCATGTCTAGATATCGCAGTCATGTCCAATATTCTTGGCGTGTCGGCCCTCGTGGATTTGATGAACAGTAACAAGCCTCCTAACGCAACGGAGGATGCGGTTTTGGGACCCCTCTATACCGAGAATACTCAGATATGTAGGTTTTAAATTAAGCTGTTCTGTTGCCCTATCTGATCCTCTGCCACAGTGAAGAACGGCGACTCTATCGCTTCCGAGGGTAAAGGTGACTACTTGTATATGTCCGGGCGTATCTTGGACGTCCAAGGAAACCCTATCGCTGGCGCAGTGATGGATATCTGGGAGGCTGATCAACACGGGGTGTACGACATGCAGGTAGGTGTCTCGCCAGTGATCACTACGGTATATTGTGCGCTGACGAAGCCGATAGCGTCCAGACTACAATGACAAACCTGATTGTCGAGGACGCTTCACGACCGGAGAGGACGGTGTATTTGCATTCAGAGCCGTGAAGTTAATTCTTTCATGTTTTTGGTCAGGATATCTGTTGATGATTCGTGCATTGACATAGGCCATCATCATACCAAGCTGCCGCTGCGGGTGGACCTGTTATAGATCTGCTTGATGCTCTTAACACTCACAAATACAGACCAGCCCATCTTCATTTCAAGATCGTCGTAAGTCACATTGTCGGATGGTTCTCATATGCTAGCTAAAGATGTATCCCATACAGGCTCCCAGCTACATGGAACTCGTCACTCAGCTGTACTTTAAAGATGACCAATATCTGGAGACGGACATTGTATTTGCCGTCAGGCAGTCCCTCATTATGGTAGGTTCAGTTTATACCAGAATTAATTGGCCGGGCACTTATAGCTCCTCTAAGGATCCGAAGTTGATTACAGACGCGTCTATTACATTGGCTCGGGGTTTCAAAGAAGCAAAGCCGCACCTTGAACTTAAGCAAGACTTTGTACTTGTCAGGGAGCGGGAACTTGTTAAACCAAAATCCAAGGTTTGATCTCTTTGCGAGGCGGAGAGAGGCAATTTTCAGTATATCTGGATAGATGAATAGCTTTTGTTGAACGAATAGTGAAGAGTATTTGTGCCAGTCAATGCAGGCTGAAGTTGCTAAACACATATTTTACGAGTTGTTTTGGACAAAAATCGCCTACCAGCGGAGTGTACTGTACTAAAATGAACCGGAAAAAGACTATCTCTTCGTCAAATTGAAGATGGCAGGGCCCCGCGCAATGGCTGCGAAGAATTTTTAACTTTACATACTCGATGTTGTCACGACGAACGATGCCTGTGGCGTCAAAAATTAACAACTCAGTCTGGGCTTGACCAACGACGCCAAGAACTTTACATGACCAGATTTTTGTCCCATTCTTCCTAATATTTCCCAGAGCACAGAAACAACTACCACCGCTTTTATATTTATTCTAAATATCCCATAGGCCTATCCAGGGATGCATCTCGCGCAACTCGGCTAGTTCCACTCCTCGAATAATATCCTGGCATTGAACTAGCCTTAGCTCCCTTCCTCGCATTCGCCGTATCCGACGCATGGGCTCCGCGTCATCCTTTTCCTCATCCGACGCCTGCCGTTCCTCGGGCGGTAGAGTCTCAGAATACTTGTGGGTAACGGTCAATACCGCGTGCGTCTTGGTCAGTGCATGGGATGTCGCCGATGACAGCGGTGTAACGCCGTCCGGATGATCGCCCTGTTCTGGCTTGAACTGCCCTAGGAGAAGCGCAGAGAAGAGGTCGCCGACTCCCGAAAAGTACCCAGGAATGAGTGGTACACAACCGGCGTGGATGGTAGGTTTTTCTTGGGTGGCTGACCAGGACGAGGACATGCACAACAGATGATCAGAGTGTTCTTCAGGGGGAGGACGGATATTGGATGGGAGGAGATCAGCGAGCCATGTTGTGAGTGGGATAGAACTAATGACAACGTTGGGGACGCTGTAGTCCTTGTGCAGAACGGTCAGGGCCTTGCGTAGGGATGCGAGGTCGTGGAGGGTCATGTTGGCGAGGGTTCTTCGTGAAAGTTAGATTGGGTGAAGGGTAAAGAGAAGGGCGGCACTTACTCGGCCTCGAACCAGTTTGGGGTAATCACGCTGGCGAGAGAGAGCATACTCTGGTAGACCGGTACCACATCTGGGGCGACATATAAACGGCCCGCGTCCCCCATCACAGCTAAAAATGTATCAGTAGACAGCCTGAATATAGCATGGACGAGTGCTTACGATCGAGGAGGTATATGAGCTCTGGCTTGCGTTTCTTCAGCTTGGCTGCTAGTTGACCGATTGCTGTAAGGGCTTCTGCACCGGGTATATAACCTGCACACGCCATGGTCAGCTGCGTCGAGCTATCTAAAAAAACATGTGGCATACCGGTCAACAGCCGCGTCGGGCTCAACAGCTCGTTGGCCTCCATCGATTCAAATATAGAATTAAGCTCTGCTGCATTCGTCTTACTCCCCCCAGAGCGACGGTATCCTGACTAATGTGTCGTCTCAATGACTCTTGATCTTACGGAGAAGCAAAGGAATACCTGCGTGATTCGAAAAGTTGACGGTGTTTACTACCTTTTTCGTGTGTAAGTTTTCATCAAGAGCGGTAATAACGGAGGACATACATCGACATCGTATCCAAGACACTGCAGCGGAAATACGGCAGCCTTGCCTCCAACGTAACCAAATGCGACGTGAGATTGGATGCTGAGGATTCGTTCGACCATGGAGAAGGATGTATGTCTAGTCGGTTGTAGATATTATTCTAAGTAGATATCTGTATCTGCCTGATAATGAGTGGTATGTATAAAAGTCAGCGCTAAGCGTACATAGGGTTTCTTGAGGCAGTATCGTCCAACGTGCTAACCAGAGAACATGAAGAAAGTCAACCAGAGAAGGAAGAACAAATTCGAGTCAAAGCCGCGCTTATCTAAATCTGCCAGCCAAGTATCCGGCAATTGGAAATGATGCCGAGAAGACAGCTTCCTTGTTTCATTTGAATTTGTGATATTAATAATTTAGGTGTGTACATTGTACATGTAGAGCTTCTGAGGCTCTCCCCAACGGCCCAAGAACCGTGAAGTTTAAATCAAAAATCTTAAGTATTTGCACAATGCAGAGTAATAAGTATAAAATTTTATGAATGAAATACTTAAAGAAGTCTATTATCAGTAGCCGGAATCGAACCACTGGCTCTTCAAAGCTAACTTCCACAACGAAGCGATTTAACCACTAATCGATACCAATGCACCAAAATAATTGATATCAGCACACTATTAATCGTTCCAAAGATTCAGAGCTGCTAGGAGGATGTGACTTGGACTTCTCTCATGGTTAAGGTTCACGCCGTTCAGCTACATGCTGAGTACCTCCCTTGGCGCCTCGTGCACAAACGCAAGAGTCACGATTCTCCTTTGGGGTGCATTGGCTCTTATACCACCATCGCCGAATGAACGATATTCTACTCTAGAGCTTCGACTGGTATTGACCAATGTCGTATTCACTTTGGGGGTGTCTCGTCTTTTACAGCCTGGCCGCTTTTCCATGATAATCCCTCGCCAGGCTGTGCGTAGCATCACCAAAATTCGATTTTCGTCTGCCCTAGTATTCGTCAATGAGACAAGAAACGGCTCATATTTTGAATTAGTTCAATCCTTCTATTAATTCTCATTGCGGTTCGATGTCAGCATTTAGGTATTCCTTACATTGCGAATTTCGGAAAGCGCTACCCAAGGTGATCCTGAATAAGTACCTCGTTGCAGTCCAAGAAGGTCGCGGCGTGTGGAAGGACAGTGACGACAAGCATGTCGGTGGACATGGTGTATCGGAATAGAGGCCCTAAAAGTGAGGAAAAGGACATGCGTGTGGTTATCACGGACTCACGAACGTTCTTTTTCACACAGTTCATTCTCCATTACAAGGATTTATACGTCGCATAATTCTCAGATCGTTGTGATACCACTACAGTCTTTACGGATTCATTCATCACAAGACACAGCCTCGAGAATATTATCTTCACAAGCGGCAAGTCTAATGTCCTTTTTCGCACGGTCTCCAGTCCTGTGAGATAAGCCCGGCTGGCTCAGGCCCGTTCCCTTCTCCGACGTGTCTGTGAGGGACCCCATGCCATGTTCTCTTCCTCAAGCTGCTCTGCCTGTACATCCCTCTTCAGTTATTCGAATATCATCTTTACTAAGGGGAGGTACTTACGACAACAGGAAGGATTTGCCTATCATCTTTACTGGCGCTTTTCTGTACCAGAGTGACCTGTTGCACAGTAAGTTTTTTCAGTCCGAATACTCGTCGGAAAAAGAGAGAATCGTGACCGTGGATGACGCTGCAGACTCTGATGGAGCCACTTGGTGCTGTTAAGTAGAAGAAATTTCAGCTCGAGGAGAGGACATTGGAAGACGGCAGTACCTTGGGCATTTTCTTTGAAAACGACGATAAGAGGGTGCTTTTCATGGCAGCTAATTAAGGACGGATGGAAGCCCAGGTCTAAGAACTCCTGCGTTCACTCGGTCAGGTGCCAGAACTTGCATGGGCATCACCCCATCATCCGCAATCGACGTGGCATACAAGCCTGGGACGATGATTACCATTACTAGGTGTTCGAGTAACAAGTTTATGCGCTACCAGCAGGATCCGGTACCTAGGCATAAGGCAACGATACTCAGAGGAGACAGCGAGTGTTATCCTTGACGTTCAATTCCGTTTGGGGGTATATTTGAACTACTGAGGACACGACAACGCCGTTAGCGACTCCGTCCCCTGTAGCCTCTAACCTTCGATTCAGGGCAGAAGATTACTTGCCGGACTGCGCTTCAATCGGTTTATGACGAACTCGATGCACGTGCTTCATTATTGAAGAAAGATGTCCCTTGCATCGTAGCCTGATCGTACCTCGAGTCGGATCATGATGCATAAGGGTTGTACTTGATAGGAAAAGATGATTAACCATCGAGATATCCCCGTCTAGTCGCTTCGTCAACGTGTCACAGTAGTACTCTTGAAGCAAGAGTGAGAACGAAAACAGCGACGATGAACCGAGGCATACACGGAGTGTGCTGCACCGGGTACAGCAGGAGCTAAGTACATTTCGCGTACCTCATCTCTGATTTGTAACAGCACAAAAAGAACTTGAAATATGTCTATTAATATCATCGAATTATGCCTGGACAAGTTACGAGAGTTGCGATAAAATATGTTGCGATCCACCCGGACGCAACTTCAATGTATCCCGACCTAATACGATCCACCAGAGATCTATAGCCGAAGTCAGAAGCGTATTTTTGAAGTGAACGAAGGAAGAAGACATACTGTGGCCGAACTACTGGCGATCGTTCCGGCTGATCCACCAGTAACCGTAAGCTTAGAGAAATCCCATTTCCTGCGAAGACGCATGCTTAGCACCATCCGGAAACCGTGGCAGAAAGTATATTTACCCTGAACAATTGCCACAGTCAACCGTCAGTCGGTTGGCCTTGTCTCCGACCCTAGAGATTGGTGAGTATACCCGTTCAAGAGTCGAAGGCACGGCTTACTTGACTGTAGTGGCGCTGCCGGTGAAGCCCACGCCCCTGTAAAGAAAGGAATGGATCAGAGGACAGACTCATTTCAAGCACGCAAAAGAGACTCACGAAATAGGACCGCCAGTTCCAGGAGTACCGGCATCATCGGGGTAGGACTGTGAGATAAGGACACCGTACTTGGTAATACCACTGATGGTGTTACTGTGAGGAACGGGTTAGCAGGTCATCCAAGAACGAAGACAAGATAGTATTTACCCAGAGTACGTGATGCCCGATACCTTAGCGCCTGTGGCTTCCGCCTTGACTTTGATTCTGCGAGTCGCGTGATGTCAGCACACCAAGCAACGAGCAAAGATTCGGTATCGTACCTGAGCCCATACATAGAGTTCGTAACTGTGTTGCCGGAGATGGTCACGTCGGTGACTGTCTTGCCAGTAGAAATAGATCCAACAGAAATGCCGTGACCACCAGAGCATTGGTTGTTCTGGAAACTGGAAAAGAAAAGTTGAGCGACTCCTCTTACTGACTGGACAACGACGTACACGATGTTGGAGCCGGAGTTGATCGCGATACAATCATCCTGATTCTTGACGACAGAGTTCTTGATTGTGACATCGTCAGCGGAAACATCAAAGCCCTATAGACCCCCGGAATCCTCAGTATCTCATCTCATTCATTAGATGAAGCTTCAACTTACGTCGGTATTGTGACCAAGGCTGTTGGTGTCGCCAGCACTGTTGTCGACCTAGAGATGGCAAGTAAGCCTACTGATACGCGAATATAGGACAGGGCGACGTACGGTGATACTATCAAAGGTGAGACCGTCGCTGTTACCGATAGAGATAGCTTGCGCGGGGCTGTTCAACACCTGCCGCTCACGTTAAGTCGTAGCCACAAAGAGCGCAAAATAAGTATTACCGTAAATTGAGAATAAGTGCCGGAGCCCTTGAACCTGTATATAAATTGTTTATGTTTGACTACAAGTCATAAATGATAGGTCGACTTGCTTCAACAACGGATGAGGCTTGTCGACACCACCGTTCGTGCCTTTGCCGTCCCAGTAGGAGGCACCGTTTCCCTGCGCAACTTATTATACGGGAGACAAGGCACGACAAACTGGCCCCACTCACGTTGAATTTATGTCCCGCCCCCTTGAAAGTGACATTGTCGCCGTCGATGGTGAACAGAGGACCTGCGGCTGTGGAGAAAAGACGCGTTGAGCATACGACTGACTGCTCCCGAATCATACGCACTAGAGGTCTTCGCGAAGGTGATATCGCCAGCCATAGTGACAGTCGCACCAGCTTTGGGCTGTTCAAAAATATGAGCGCGCCTCATGCGCCAATGAAGTACGGGATCTTACTGAGAGCGTCAATGTGCCTATAAGGTGCCCGCGTCAGTAAGAGGACACTCGGAAAAGAAAATGTCCTCCAACTTACTTCCACTCGGGACAATGAACGCGTTGATAGTGACCGCCGAACAGCTGGATATCGAGGAGGCAGCAGAGACGGAATCAACTACGCAGCTCGCACGCGCTTCGAGGTCCTCGGCTGGTAGAGCCGACACGAGCGCGAGCACGGCGGCGGCGAAGATGAACTGGTAAAATGCGTGACCGAACATTTGAGGTAGATCTGAAGGGAAGCAAAGGATGCTGGTTATTCTGCCATTGACGACCTGCTCTTTATACCATGGCGCTGGATGAACCACGGAGGTTTACCAGCCTCAAATTGGTATTCCAGTTACAAAAGGATCTACGAGGGGGAGCGGTGGCCGGTGAAGTTACTGATCCGTTGTTTTACACCAAGAAATGGTATAGGGGATTTCCGGTCGTCGTCCTAAGAATCGAAATTGCCTTGTTTGAGTTGGGTCATGGCGACTTCTCTATCAGTATTGATAAATAGAAAAATTCTAATCTTTGGAGTTTGAGCCAACCCTCAAATCGAGCACTGTGGAGAGCCCGGTTCGCTCCAGCTTGCGTCTGCTGCATAACAACTTATCATTGCTCGCACGCGTCTTCTGCATCGGTAAACATTAGTTTTAAATTTCCAATGTGTTTCCACAACATTCGTCAGTGTTGTAAGCGAACCAGGTAAAGCTTCAGGTCACCCTGGCGCTCAACAGTGTGTACCTATCTTTGAAAATAAGATTTCGAACGAACTCGAAAATTTGACTAACCTAACTATTCTCCAATTCTAGCGCCTCTCTCCATGCCTCTATATTTAAGATGATGACAGTCCTGAGTCTCAAAGATTTTGGCCCAAAGGAAACTTGACGGAAATGGTTCACGGGGTTGAAATGTTTCCTTAGACACGATCCCGTCTGTTGGAAAACAGATTTTGGCAAAGAGAATTCTGCTTCTGGCAGGACAGAAACTGTATAAAGAATTTTTCAGTGCTACCACGCATTGCCTGTGTGCAGAAACTCAGGCATGTCAGGAGCGTATAAGCCAATGACCTCTCCATGTCGGAATAGAGAGCACTTGCTTACATCTTCTCAACTCTCCTCCTTCCAGAATCATCCAGACCTTTGCGACAGCAAAGCGAGTCGATAATTTTTTCCTTGAGAGATCATCCGCTTCTGTTCATGGAGCATTCGACAAGAATACGGGCAGTCTTGACCATTGTTTTGTCTACCAAATGTACGGGACAACGAGAACGGACACATGGGCCATTCCCCATTGCCCGAATTTTTGCCGATTGTCAAAATATCTGGGAT